GTTTTAAAAGAGAAGTGTGTGTTTACCAGGCTGATTGGTAGAAGACTGTGGGGAACAGATCATCAGACTGTCTCATTCTTTCAACAGCTGACTGCCCAGAGACAGGCTCCCAGCTGCAGCTCCCAGTTCTTGCTCACCACCTTCCAGTCAGCTTTCAGCTGCAGTTTGGGTTTTCTTCAGTGTCCTAGTCCCAGCGGAATATAAGCTTCACAAAAGCTTGTGTGCCCAGTGCCTCAGTCAGAGTCTGGCCTATCAGTGGTGCTCAGTGAATGTTTGTTGACTGATTTCCTTTGTGTCTCTGCAGCTTCAGAAGCGCTTCATCCTGAACCTGCCAGCCTTCAGTGTTCGAATCATTGACAAAAATGGCATCCATGACCTGGCCACCATTTCCTTCTCTAAACGCAGCTCCTAACAAAATGCCCTCTCTCCCACTTGCCAGGGAACTTTTTTTGACGGGCTCATTTATTTTTTTCTACTCGTTTGATGTGCAGTCTTGATAGATGGTTAATTCAGAATAAAGCTGACTATGGATAAATTGAGCTCTCTGGTTGGAATCTCAGTTTACCTGACATCACTCAGGAAGGAAATGGAGAAAGGATAATCTGCTTGGACTTTTGGCTTAGACTGTCTTTCCTCCTGTTACTTTCCCTCTGTTCATGCTCTGATTGCCCCTTAGCAGCCCAACACCCCACATTCTATTTCACTGCCTGACTTCTTTCCCACCTAGCTCATTCGTATATCATGCTGGCTAATGTCTCATTCCTTCTAAAGCAGTGATTCTTTCTTCCCCCTAAGCTAAAAAAATTTAAAATAATTAATATAAATGGGTATTACGTGCACTTAGTAAAAAAAATGCACACAGTATAAAGACACATAGTAAAAAATGTTTCTCTTGTCCCTAAAATTTGATCACCTGCTTCCCGTCCCAGAAGAAACTTCAGATATGCTGTTCCAGTATAAAATGTGCACATGTACACACACACACCCTCCTTTAAAAATAAGGCTGCACTCCCAGGTTTCAACTAAGTAGGTTTGGGGCTAGGAATACTTAAAGCTTCCCAAATAATTCTTATCCTCAGTCCTGACAGAGAACCCCTGGATTGAAGTTAGTTTGAGGCAGTGATCCTCAAACAGCACACATCCCTGGAGGGCTTAATTGAAACATAGCTTTCTGGGTCCTACCCTTATAGCTTCACATGTTTGGGGTGTGACCTGTGATTTTGCATTTCCAACATTTCCAATTGTAAGATAAACCCTGAGAAACCAAGATGGCGCCATAGGTAAACACTGGAAATTGCTGCCTCGCACAGCCACTTCAAAAATACAACTAAAAGACAAGACGGACATCATCCAGAACCACAGGAAGGCTGGCTGAATGGAAATTCTACAACTAGAAGGAAAGAGAAAAGCACTGAGACTCAGGAGGTGCGGAAGTAAAGTGCAGAGGTACGGAGGCGCACGCCGAAAGGGCTGGCAACTGAGGACGCGGTGCACGTGGAAAGGGCTGGCAGCTGAGGATGCGACGCACCTGGAAAGGGCTGGCAGCTGAGGACGTGGCGCACGTGGAAAGGTCTGGCAGCTGAGGACACGGTTGTCTTTTTTAATCGGGAGGGAGTCAAGCTCCCAACTGCTCTGAACTCCAGTTCCTGATGAGTCTCTAGGGACCCAGACTCGTACGGGGAAAAACTGGACTGTCTGGCATCGGGCAGAATTCGAGGGCAGCTTTCTCTCAGAGGTGCTTGCAGCAATTACTGGGACACTGAGACGCGGGGCCTCTTAGGGTAGGACTGGGGAGCAGCCATAGCTGCTTGCTTCGCCCTGTTGATTCCCTGAGACCCCGCCCCACCCAAGCTGTGCACAGAGGCTTTTGCATATGAAAGGCCTGGCCCTTTGCAACCTGAAAATTACCTAACAAACTGCAGCTGAATCAGAGAGACCCAGAACTTCCAAAAGAAGGTCCAAGGCCCCACAGCAGCTTGCATTGCTTCACAGCTGGGCCTCATCTGGGCACCTCCAAACCCCAAAGAAGAGGAATCTCTCCATAGCTCCTGCTGGGTAGCCTCAGGCAGAGGCTAAATTAGCACCTCCTTAGAGATCCAAGAGCCAGTGTACCCAGTGGTCAGAGTGGGACCATCCAGATTACAACTCCTCAGATCCATAGGGACACACTCAGGAGGCAGATTCAGTGAGCACCAAAGCACCACTGAAGCAAGTCTTGCCCTGGAAGGGTGTCTCCAGCTCAGAAGTTCTCCCACTGCAGAGACAGCTGATTCTCACAGCCAGTTGGCCTGGAGGTCAATTCCTCCCAGTGATACCTACAACAATCAAGACTTAACTATGCCCTAATCGGTTTGGCTAAGTGGATAGAGTGTCGGCCTGTGGACTCAAGGGTCCCAGGTTCGATTCCGGTCAAGGGCATGTACCTTGGTTGTGGGCACATCCCCAGTGGGGAGTGTGCAGAAGGCAGCTGATTGATGTTTCTAACTCTCTATCCCTTTCCCTTCCTCTCTGTAAAAAATCAATAAAATGTATTTAAAAAAAAAAAAAAAAAGACTTAACTACAACAAGACTGCACATAGCCCACAAAGGGGTGCACCAAGAGTGTCCACCTCAGGTAACTGGGGAGGCTGAGCCACTGGGCCCTATAGGACACCTAGCACAGAAAACCACTCTATCAACACAGGGAAGCATAAAAAATGCGGAGACAAAGAAACAGGTCACAAATGACAGAAATGGAGGAAAGCAAACTACTGGATATAGAGTTCAAAACCACACTTATATAAGGTTTTTCATGAATTTTCTAGAAACTGCCGATAAATTTAGTGAGACCCTCAAGAAATCTAGTGAGACCACCGATAAATTTAGTGAGACCCTCAAATCTAGTGAGACCCTCGAGGTTATGAAAAAGAACCAACTAGAAGTTTAGCATACACTGACTGAAATAAAGGATATTATGCGGAGCTCCAACAGCAGACTAGATGATTGCAAGAATCAAGTCAAAGATTTGAAATACAAAGAAGCAAAAATCACCCAACCAGAAAAACAAAAAGAAAATCCAAAAATATGAAGATAGTGTAAGGAGCCTCTGGGACAACTTCAAGCGTACCAACATCCGTATTATGGGGGTGCCAGAAAGAGAGAGAGCAAGATATTAAAAACCTATTTGAAGAAATAATGACGGAAAACTTCCTCTACCTGGTGAAAGAAATAGACTTACAAGTCCAGGAAGTGCAGAGAACCCCAAACAAAAGGAATCCAAAGAGGACCACACCAAGACACATCATAATTAAAATGCCAAGAGCAAAAGACAAAGAGAGAATCTTAAAAGCAGCAAGAGAAAGACAGCCAGTTACCTACAAGGGAGTACTCATACGACTGTCAGCTGATTTCTCAACAGAAACCATGCAGGCCAGAAGAGAGTGGCAAGAAATATTCAAAGTGATGAATAGCAAGAACCTGCAACCAAGATTACTTTATCCAGCAAAGCTATCATTCAGAATTGAAGGTCAGATAAAGAGCTTCACAGATAAGAAAAAGCTAAAGGAGTTCATCACCACCAAACCAGTATTATATGAAATGCTGAAAGGTATCCTTTAAGAAGAGAAAGAAGAAGAAAAAGGTAAAGATACAAATTACGAACAACAAATACACATCTATCAACAAGTGAATCTAAAAATCAAGTGAATAAATAATCTGATGAACAGAATAAACTGGAGAATATAATAGAATCAGGGGCATAGAAAGGGAGTGGACTGACTATTCTCAGGGGGGAAGTGGGTGTGGGGGTGTGGGAAGAGACTGGACAAAAATTGTACACCTATGGATGAGAACAGTGGGTGGCGGGGGTAAGGGCAGAGGGTGGGGTGGGAACCGGGTGGAGGGGAGCTATGGGGGGAAAAAAGAGGAACAAATGTAATAATCTGAACAATAAAGATTTAATTAAAAAAAAAAGATAAACCCTATTTTATCCAATTCTGTGCTATTCTTAATCCCACATAAAGGTAGGGTTTGGGTTCATGTGAAGTGGAATATCATCTCTAAGATACTACCTGCAGATCAGAACATGTGTGTTAACAGTGTTATCATCAGATTTAAATGTCACACACTTTACACCAATGATAAATGCTTTATACCATAAGAAAAAAGTTAATTGTATAAATGAGGGAAAAGATGATTCGTATGACCATAGCTAGTTCAACCTTCAGTACCACTGTTTGAATTGGGTTGAAGAGTGAAGTGGCGTTAGGGGTATAACAGTCTTTCAAAAACTTTACTGCCAGGGAAATATATAGGGAAAGGATTTATGTTTTGTAAGGTAAACATGTGTGCTTTGGGGAATGATATAGTAAACTAGTTAGAAGGGAGACTGTTGATGCAGGAAGAAAATGATGCCTAAAGAGTGAAATCCTCAAGTAGATGAGAGAGTTGGGTTAGTATTGGCTTAAAACACACACACACACACACACACACACACACACACACAGTCATCAGCATTCACACTGACACACATACAGACCCACCACCCATGACTGACACATTCACACAGGCCCACCAAGTCACAATAATGTACATACAGACCCAGGAGTCACTTCACACACTCACAGAACTAAAAGCCACACTGACAAGCCAAATAGACCCACCACCTGTACCCCATCTCACATAGGCCCCTCCTAGGACTCTCCCTTGGGAGGCAAATCCAGACCTGGGCTGAAGGGGGAGAGGGGGACTTCACATTCAATGGAAAGGTTTTATTAAGAGAATGAGAAAGCATTCTGAGAGTTGGGGAGGTGCATCCACCCGCAGAGTCAAAGGAAACATAAATACAAAATCCCAGCGACAACCTCAGGGTCCCTAACACGTCTTTCTTCCCTCTGGCTCCCTGTCCCCCAACACTCCTTTGAACCGAAACACCCTCTCCATCCTGGTCTAGCTGGACATCTTGGAGCATGAGCAGAAAATAGTGAAACGAATCTTCAACTTGGGATAAATCAGTTGTGCTGGACATTTTAAAACTTTCAAATTTAATTACAACACACAAATAAATAGGGCAGACAATGACAGGGCTGTGAAGTGCAGCCTGGATTCAAGTTATACAATTTGTGCTTTGTCTTCTTTGTTCCTGCCCACTTCTTTCCAAGAGTGGGAGGAGTCCAAAGTACCCATTGGAGTTTTCCTGCCAGGACCCCTTTTCTTTGAGGGTCAAGATTCTGGGATGAAGGGTGCCAACTCCTCAGTAGCACCTCTGGTTTGTCAACAGTTTTCCTCCTGCCATCAGTAAAAACAGCAAGGCCTTGGACCCTAAGAGTACCCACCACTGCCCAAGCACCCTAACGGGGAGGGCTCAGCCCCAAGAACCATGCCAATTTCCTGTTCAAGCACTTAGCAATCCAGGGTCAGAAAATTGCAAACAACAGGGCCCTTATCAAACCACCACAGACAGGCCATCCCCACCTTTTCCAGCCCAGGTCCCTAACTCGGGGGTCTCTGGATGAATGCTCTCTTTCTGGCCTTACTCTAACCCCTCCTTTTAATCCTTTCAGGCCCACCCCTAGGAGCTAAGACCTTATTTCAGGCCTTGGGAGCCCCTTAGGGATGGGGCCTGGGAAGCGGTTATTTCCGATGCTTGGCATCCTTCTCTGAAGCTTTAGTGTCGCCATGCCCACTGCCCGCAGTGCTTAAAAACATCTTGTCCAGCCCCTTGAGTGACTCCAGCAAGTAGTTCTGGAAGGCGGTGAGGGCAGCACAGATGGCTGGCCCACCAAAACCGTGGGTGATGAGGCTAAAGTGTGTCAGGCAACTCTGCACTCCGGGCTCCAGGATGAGAGCAGGGCGGCTATTGCCCAGTGGCGAGCGGTCCTGAGCCATCAGGTCTGCAAACTCCTTACAGATCTGCCTGGTGAGGAAAAAAGGGTCAGAGGTTAGAGGTCAGAGGTCTGAGCCCAGAGAAGGACCTACCATATTCTGGGTACTTTATTTATATTATATTTATGATTGTTGACCCTGCCAATAGTCTGCAAATGATGATCATACCCATTTTACAGAAAAGGAAACTAAGGTTCAGAGACATTAACTGATTTGTCTCACAGCTAGTGAACAGCACATGCCAATACCCTAGGATCCTTCTTCTTGTGGACATCCTGCCCATATTCAAAGTCTAGCTCTACCACCTTATCCAGGAAACTTTCCTTGATCCACTCTCCCAATCCTACCCCCACTCCAAATACCAGTGCCTCACAGAGCTTAGAAATTATTAAGGAACAATCTAGAATCTGCCTTGAATAACTGAAATAATAGCTCATAGTGAACATGAATTGAGGCCTACCATAGATGCTGTGCCAAGTGTATCATCTCACTTAGTCCTCACAACAAATCTATACTCTTATTATTATCACATCATATGATGAGGAAACTGGTTTCAAATGGGTTAGATCAGCGGTCGCCAACCTTTTGGACCCCCCAGACCACGGACCACCGGTTGGTGACCACTAGGTTAGATGACCTGCCCAAGTGGCTAAGCTGGGATTCGAATCCAGCTCTAGTTTGCAGACATTATTTGTTTCTTTGTGCATCTTGTGGTGTGTGGCTCAGGCAGAAGAATCACCCCTGTCTCACCTTTGTGTCACCATGGAACCCAGTCAGCATCTTAGACATGAGTGGGACCTAGTAGTGTTGAATAAGTTGGCTGGTTAATGGGTGAGGTGAGCCCTGCCCTAGATGTGTTTCTTCAGCTACAATATGAGCAGTCTCAACGGTCTCATGAGTCATGGAAGTCCCTTGAGTCTGTGATTCCATTTCTGCTTAGGGGACTTGAGGAAGCCTCAAAGAGGGGAGGGTAGAGTTGCCATTTGAAAGACTGCATTAGGTGGGGGTACTAGCTGGTGTTCTAAGCAGGAGAGCAAGCCCAAGGATGGGAGAGCAGGAGAGATCAATTGGTGTGGGTAGGGTTTATTTGGGCTGGATTGTGGGGTCCTCAAAGGAGTCTGGACTTTACCCAATGGATTGGTGGTTTTCAAATTTTTTTATTCCTTTCCTCTCTATGTCTCACTCTGTCTCTTCTTGCACTGGGATTCTTTCTAAAAACTAAACCTTAATGGACTAGAAGTTCATTAAACAGACCCCGAAGCATCCCCACAGAACCTAGTTTGAAAATCAGTGCAGTAGCAGTGGGAGCTATTGAAGGTTCTTGGGCAGGGGGGCAATGCATGTGCAGGGAATCTGAAGGAATAATGGGGTGCTGGAGTGAAGATCCAGGAAAGAGATTAGAAGACTAGAGTTGAGGTGGCAGCATGTGAAGGGTGGTGAGGGAGGTAACAACGAGAGTTGCAGAGAGGTTAAATGTAAAGTAAGGACAAGGGGTGATCAACCTGGCGCCTGGGTGGGCATGGGTGCCCTCATGGAAATCACTGGAACAGAAGGGCTGATGGGTAAGGCTCAAGCAGAGGGAGCAAGACCATGGAACCTCAGAGCCGTGATGGGACTAGGGCTGGTGGTGTCATGGGGCACAGACTATGTAAGCCTATCTATGACACCATTTTTGCTGATTCACAGAACCCAGATATATTCATATATGTCCATGTAGCATGCACAGCATTGAGTGTCGGTGTACTGTGTGTGGTGCCACTCGTGCCCAGGCGTGGGGTCTGTGCATTGCACCTACATGTGCCTGTTCATGGCACCCACGACAGCCTGCGCATAGTGTCCAAAAGTGTCCACACTGCACCCTCACTCACTTGGCGGCCAGCAGCATGTTCTTGCGGCTGTGCAGTTCCCCAGGGTCAGCATGCTGTCGGCACAGGTACTCGGCAGCTGCCTTGGCTGGGAACTCGGTCTCACAGATGTAGCTGAAGTCTCGGGCCAGGTGTATGGCCTCTCCTGGGAGGAGGAGAGGCAAAGAGGTGAGCTCTCACTACAGCCAGGTGTACCTCTGAGACTGGAGCACCACCTTGAACCTTGACCCCTGGCCAGGGCCCATCCTACCCCATCTTGCTTCTATAGATACCTTCCTCTAATTTCCCACTCCAGCAATCCCATTGCCATCCTTTGGGGCCACCAGGGATGGGCTCTGAGTTCAGGGATGGGAGCTGAGCCCACCCTGTATCCCAAAGCTTGAGCTCTATGTAATCACACCCAGAGGCACCAACCTCCAGGGAAAGTACTCTAACCCCCTTATCCCTTTCCCTCATCCAGTCGCTGGCCACTTCTCCCCACCATACACACACATGCTCTCTATTGATTGCATGGGCACGTGAACACACACACACACACACACACACAGGCTGTACATACATATGATACACAGCACTTCCTCATACATGACAGAGAACAAACATGTGACTAAACACACCTTCCTGCATTGGAGACTGTCACAGTCACACTGGATGACACAGGTCCCCTCGTGCCCCAGCGCCCACCCTCAGGCCTCACTCACCCTCCACCAGTGAAGTGAGTAGCGTCACGTTGGCGGCCTTGCGTCGGCCAGCTGGCAAGTTGAGCCCAATCTTCTCCAGCCGTTCCCGCAGGCACCGGCCTCCATTCTTGGACTTGGCCCTTCACGTGCACAAAGAGAGACAGACACACACTATGAAGACAAGAGAGAAGGATGCAGGCTAAGTGACCTTGCTGCTTCCACCAACCCCTGCTGAGGCTTGGGTCTGGCCCTGGGGACTGTCGGGGGCCTCTTTCAGTCTGGCCCCAACCTCTTTCTAACCTCACTGGCTTTGTAGCCAAGATGGAGGGTAGGGGTCCTAGCTCCAGGAGCCCCTCATTTCTCCCTAACCCTCTCAATAGCAGGATAGCCCAGGGTGTGGCAAGATAGGCCTTTTTCCCACCTTCGCACGCCAGCCAGGCCATACACAGCTACCCAGGGACACATAGACCTTTATACAGATACACTGGGACAAGCAGACATGCACAGATACATATAGATACATACACAGATGAGCGCACACTGAGGGCCAAGAATAAACACACCCCAATAGAGACAGACACACAGAGAGAGACTCAGACACCAGGCACACATAGGGGCACAGAGACAAATGTTCACACGAAGTCAGGATCTCAAGGACATGTACAGACACTCACACATTCACACGAGTCCCTCTGGGCTGCTCGAAGAGACCAGGAATAAGGAGATACTCCCATACCTGCACAAATGCAGCCCCCACACAGAGGTACATGCACATGTCTAGCTCCAGATGTACATGTGATCCCATACACACAGGGTAGGACACACTCCATCCAACACATCCCACTGAAAGTAACACAGGAAACTCGCATTCATGGAACACATCTTCCTAGCCACCCCCTATACCACACACACACAAACATGCACTCGTGCATGCACACACCATCCTTAGGCACACCAAGACTCAGCCCTATGTAGGCACAAAGATATGCACAAAGGGAGACAGACACACAACTAGAAGATAACTATGGACCCCAAAACGCACACACCAGAGAGGCCTTTGCTCCACAGGGGATGGGCTTTGGGTCCTGGGGGGTCCCTTTTCTGGAGGAGGGGGTGAAAAGGGCACTCTTCTTCCAGGACCCAGCCTTGTCCATCTGCCCAAGACGGGTGGGTCCTCCAACCCTCCTCTATGCCCAGGCTTCTTCCTCCACACCCCACCCTCAAGGCCTCAGACCTGTAGTTGCTGCTGGGGACCTGGACCTCCCCTCCGGGAGACTGAGGCATAGGTGGCCCTGTGGCTTGGGGTGAGGCTGGACCCTCCTTGATCCCCTGAGGAGGTCTGAGATGGCCACGGATTTTGGCCCAAACACTGTGCAGGGAGCTGTGGGTTGGCCTTCCTACCTGCGAAGGACACCACCCAGGAGTGAGGCGTTGAGGCACTCGGGAGGCGAGAGTCGCCGCTGGACCTCCCCCACTGTCACCTTGTACTTGGATGTCGAGCTGAGCAGTGACAGCCGGCCTGGCACGGAGCAGAAGACCTCACTGGGGTTCGTGATGCCGCCAACCAGGCTGTCTCTGGCCAGTGAGAGGGCCGAGAGGCTGCTGGCTTTGGAGGGGATGGGGACTGTGGAGCAGAAGCAAGAGCAAAGGAGAAAGACAACACTGAGCCAGGGACTTCAGGACACTAGCAGCTGTGGAGGGAGCACTTTGATGGAGCACCCACTCTGAGCTGGGCACCATGCTACATGCTGTGCACACAGGCACAGTTAAATGTCCCAGTATCTTTCAGAGGAAGGTTCTATGATCCCTGCTTTACCAAGGAAGAAACCAAGGCACATTGACGTTAATGTGACTCACCCAGGTACACTCAACTAATGGGTGGTAAAACTGGACCTAGAGCTGTCTGGTTCTTGAACCTGTGTTCCCTTCACCAAGCCAGGCTGGTGCCCTGTTAAAACTCAAACAGCCCCAGCAGACTCTTGGGGTTTTGGCATGTGTGAACAGAGAGGGAGTTGGAGATGAGGAGATGGGGTCTGAGCTGCAGGCAGGATTCCTGGGTCACTGTGGCAGGGCCCAGCCAGATCTGGGCAATCACAAGGAGCCCCCAACCCCCCACCCCCGCCCACTTGTGATCCTATGTCTTCACCTCCCCTAAAGTAGTGAGAGGACAGGAAGGTTACAGCCCCATTAGGCCTCCAGCCCTGGCCCCTTCCTGCCAAGTCATTCTGGGATGCTCAAGGAGACCAGGAAGAAAGAAACACCCTCTGGCCCCCTCCCCCAAATGCTATTTAATTATCTCCCAACAGCTACAAAGGGCAGAGAAGGGAATCTGAGAAGTTGATTTTCTAAAACCCACTTGGACATCCTTGCCTCTAAAAGAAAGTTCTTCCTGCAGTCTAACCTCCATCTTCCTGCTCAGCTTCAGAGGGAAGAGAGAACACTTGAGACACATATTTCCCCTGAGGCTTAGCTTCTTTCAAGGAAGTGAGAGCCTTGGTGTTAAAAAAAAAAAAAAAAAAAGGATGTCTTATGTGTGTGTTGGGGGGGCGGGGCGGCCATGTGGGGAGTCTGGGGCCAACAGCTACTGAGCACTCACTATGCTATGAGCTTACACAAACAACCTCACTGAATCCTCAGAACTCACAAGGCGGCTACATTTATTATTCCCATTTTGCAGATGAGAAAACTGAAGCCCACAGAGGTGAAGTAGTGTGCCTGAGCTCACACCGCTGGTAGACTTAGAACCAGCAGCAAGCCCTGGACTGTGGTCTCAAAGACAACACTCTTAGCCCTCCAGCCATACGGCAAGTATTTGCTGAGTGTCTGTGTGCCAGGAGCTGTGCTGGGCCTTGGGAATGCAGAGGCAAACGAGGATGACCAGGACCGAGCCTGGCAGAGCCCCTCCAGCTTTTCCCTCTCTGGGTGTGCATTTCCCCCTTCCCCTGTCCCCCAGCCAGAAACCTCAGTGATGCCTTTCACACTCAGTGATGCCTCTCCCACCACATCCCATCCATCACCATGTCCTAGGTTTTCATTTCTCCGCGTGCCCTGAATGTTGCCCCTTCTCCATGTATGCACAGACACTCACTTCCTGCCTGAATTTCAGCACAATCCCTGCTCTGGTCTCCCTGCCCTGCTGCAGAGGGAACTTTCTTAAACACACATCACTCTCTAGCCTAAAACTGGTCAGTGTCCAGTCAGTGCCCTGAGAGACAAAGTCCAGCTCCATAGCTGGGCAAAATGATGTCCCCTGTCCTTTAGGAAGTACCGACTCTATACCCAGTGCTTTACATGAACAGCTCTGGGGAGTGGATGCCATTATCCATCCCCATTTTAAAATGAAAAAACTCAGTTGGGCACAGCAATCAGGAGCACAGCCTCTGAGCATGGACTCCAGAGCTCACATCCTAACCATCATCATACCCTACTTCACCTTCCTTTATAGCCTGGCCATGCCTACCCCTCTTGCCTGATCCCCGGCTTACCCTTTAGCCTCTTGACCCACACTGACCAACAGAAGTATACTGTGAGCCATGTATGTAAATTTACAGTTTCTCAGAGCCCCATTTTAAAAAGTAAAAAGAGCCGAAACCGGTTTGGCTCAGTGGATAGAGTGTCGGCCTGCGGACTGAGAAGTCCCAGGTTCGATTCCGGTCAAGGGCATGTACCTGGGTTGCGGGCACATCCCCAGTAGGAGATGTGCAGGAGGCAGCTGATCGATGTTTCTCTCTCATCGATGTTTCTAACTCTCTATCTCTCTCCCTTCCTCTCTGTAAAAGATCAATAAAATATATTAAAAATAAATAAATAAATAATAAATAAAAAGTAAAAAGAAACTTGCAAGGTTAATATATTTTATTTACCCCACTATATCAAATATATTATCATTGAAACATAATCAATATGTTAAAAATTACTACTGGGCTACTAAACATTCTTTTCTTATACTTAGTCTTCAAAATTCAATGCATATTTTACCCTTACGACCTATCTTAATGCAGACTAGCCACATTTCAAGTGCCCACTAGCCCCATGTGGCTAGCAGCTCCCACAGTAGATAGCACAGCTCTAGGCTTCAAAGGGGAAGCACAATAGGTAACCTATGTCAGCGAGATGTGGGTGACTGGTGACTGGCGCTGCCCTGTGCAAAGCTGCCACTTGTCTCTCACCATGCTGGACATACCGACATTGCCGGAGATCCTGGTTTGCTTATTTGTTTGTTTTTGCTGGTGAGATCAGGACTCTGGATTTCTATGAGAAATCTCTGTATTTTTAAACATGAAAAAGTGCTCAACGTCATTAATCACTGAGGAAATGCAAATTAAAACTATACTGAGATACTACTAGGATGGCTATAATGAAAACAATAGACAATATCAAGTGTAGGTGAGAATGTGGAGCAACTGGAACCCTTGCATTGCTAGTGGGAATGTAAAATAGAACAGCCACTTTAGAAAACAGCTTGACATTTTCTTAAAAAATTAAACACAGCCCTAGCCGGTTTGGCTCAGGGGATAGAGCGTCGGCCTGCGGACTGAAGGGTCCCAGGTTCGATTCCAGTCAAGGGCATGTACCTTGGTTGCGGGCACATCCCCAGTGAGGTGTGCAGGAGGCAGCTGATCGATGTTTCTCTCTCATCGATGTTTCTAACTCTCTATCCCTCTCCCTTCCTCTCTGTAAAAAATAAATAAAATATATTTTAAAATAATTAAACACGAACTGCCCTGGCCAGTGTGGGTAAGTGGTTAGAGCAGAGGTGGGCAAACTTTTTGACTCGAGGGCCACAATGGGTTCTTAAACTGGACCAGAGGGCCGGAACAAAAGCATGGATGGAGTGTTTGTGTAAACTAATATAAATTCAAAGTAAACATCATTACATAAAAGGGTACGGTCTTTTTTTTTTTTAGTTTTATTCATTTCAAACAGGCCAGATCCGGCCCGCGGGCCGTAGTTTGCCCACGGCTGGGTTAGAGTGTCAGCCTGTGCACCAAAGTTTCGTGGGTTCGATTCCCAGTCAAGGGCACGTGCCTGGGTTGCAGGTTCGATGCTCAGCCCCGGTCAGGACTCATGTGGGAGGCAACCAATTGATGTGTTTCTCTCACATTGATACTTCTCTCTGTCTTTCCCTTTCTCTTCCACTCTCCCTAAAAATCAATGGAAAAATACCCTCAGGTGAGGATTAACAACAACAAAAATTTAAACACAAATTTACCATACAATCCAGCATTTCCACTTTTAGGAATTTAGCTAAAAGCAATGAAAACGTATATCCACAAGAAAGACATGTATGTGAATGACTATAGCAGCATTATTCAACATAGCCAAAAAGCGAAAACACCAAGTAATCAACTGATGAATGAATAAACAAAATGTGTTGCATCCATGCAATCGAATACTTGCTCAGCAATTTTGAAAAAAGAAGTACTTATACATGCTACAGTGTGAATGAACCTCAAAATATTATGCTAAGTAAAAGAAGCTAGATGCAAAAGTCTGTATATTTATATACTCCATTTATATAATATATCTAAAACATGCAAATTTGTAGACAGAAAGCTGATAGTGGTTGCCTAAAGCTTGGGGTGAGGATGGGGATTAACCACAAATAAAGGAATTTTGGGGGTGTTGGAAATGTCTAAAAATGGATGTGGGTATGCCCTGGCTGGCTGGCTCAGTTGTTTGTAGTGTCATCCCACACACCAAAAGGTGGCGGGTGGAGTCCGGGTCAGGGCCCACACCTAGGTTTTGGGTTTGACCCCCAGTTGGGTGCATATGGGAGGTAACTAATTGATGTCTCTCTCCCTCTCTCTCTCTCTCTCTCTCTCTCGCTCTCTCTCTCTCAAAAAAAAAAAAAATCAATGAAACATATCCTCAGGTAAGGATTTAAAAAATGGATGTAGTTATGACTATGCAAATAGAAATTTACTAAAAAAAATCATCTTGATACAGTCTAACAATGGATGAATTTTAGGTATGTAAGCTTTATTTCAATAAATGGGTAAAAAATGCAAGTTCCAGGGACTCTCATTCAGTAGATGTGAGGTGGTATACCAGAAGTCTGCATTTTTTAACAAGTACCCCCAAGGGATTCTGACACAGTGGTTCCTTAGACCACACTTAGAGTATCACTGCCCAAAGCCTGAGGGGGAGGGAGAGCAGGAGGAAGGCAGACAGGAGAGGTAGTGACCCTCCTCCCAGCCCACCTGCCTTTCTTCATCTCCCCCAGTGGAGCCTGCTGGTTAAGTTTACCTTCTCACCAACTGCGAGAGGGGTTCTTTTATTTATTTACTTTACATATTTTTATTGATTTCAGAGAGGAAGGGAGAGGGAGAGATAGAAACATCAATGATGAGAGAGAATCATTGATCAGCTGCCTTTTGCACACCCCACACTGGGGATCGAGCCCACAACCTAGGCATGAGCCCTTGGCTGGAATCGAACTTGGGACCCTTCAGTCCACAGGTCGATGCTCTATCCACTGAGCCAAACGGGCTAGGGCCAGAGGGGTTCTTTTAAATATAGCTCCTACCCTTCACTCCCCTGCTCTACACTGCCCTCACATAGCGTCCAAACTCTCTGCATGGACACTGGTTCTTCAGCCTCTCTTTGGGGCAGACAGGGGCCTGTCTGGGAGGCAAATGAAGCAGGGTTGTGCAAGTGCAGGGTCCGACTCTGTCTTTACGTAGTAAAATTTTGATATTTTGTTTATCATGGATTTTTGGCATTATTTTTATTTTAAAATATTGCATTAAAATATATTATGTATCTAAATCTTGCCTCAGAGTGAGTACCTCACCCTAGGCCTGGCCCTGCTTGGATCTTCATTTGGAGGCCCAAACCCTCGCCATCTCCCTTTCCTTCCCCAGAGCCACGAGGAGCCGAGGGGAGGTGACTGTTTACATCAGCCCAGGTTTGCCCCAGAGATCCCCCTGAGATTGGAAGATGGAGCCCAGCAGAGAGGGATTCCCCACCCCCAAGGAAGCAAACCACTCTCCTCAGAGGGAAGGAGGAATATCTCATGAGGTTCTCATCTCCAAACCACTCCCCTCCAACTTTGACTATATAAAGTGAAACTCAGGGAGATTTTTAGCCCTTATAACCTGTCTGGCTTTTCCACAGACAGGGCCTTCGCACACGCTGTGCCTAGTGCAGTGAAAGCAGCAGGATCCTTTCTACACCCTGCCTTTCAGTGCACTCAGACTTCAAAACCCATCAATCACTCATTCAACAAACACCCATTGGGCGCCTAGGGAGCCACTTCCTAGGGCCTCCTCCAGGAAGCCTCCCAAACTCATGCCCTCGCTGCTCCTTCTGAGCTCCCACCACCACCTGCACAGGCCTTCTCACTGCCTTTCTCAGCCAGAAAACAGTCCTGTCCAGGTCTGTCTTCCTCTCCAGGCCCGCCTGCTCTCGGTGCCCGGTGCCCCTAGGACAGGTCGCAAAACTGGAGGAAAAAAATGTGGGCAGAAAATGGAGGGCTCCCCGCTTCCCCTGGGGTCGGCTGGGACCCCACCTGCCATTCTCTAACCCACGCCGTGGCTTTAAGGGGCTGCCCACCTGGAAGGGTGTGTGGGGGCGGGGCTTGCCTCCCGGGGCCTCCAGGACAAGTGCTGGAGACTCAAGATTTTACAACCAAGGGCTGGGCCCCCGACAGCTTCCAGGCTCTCCTCCCCCAGGAGCCCATGGTAGGAAGATCGCGTCGCTTTGGGGATAGGACGGATCTGCCTGCCTCCCTTTCGCATCCAGAACTCCAATCGTCCTACAGTCGCCCCGCCTGCTGTAGCCGGGAGATGCTGGAGGAATCCGATGCTTCAGTTAGCCAAGACTGATTTTCCATAAATGCAGGACCGGGTCGGAACGAGGTGCCCACAGCTGCCGGCAGGTGCCAGCCGACTTCAGGACTCCCCGGGGGTTCCCAATGCCTGAGGGCGAGGCAGGGCGCTAATTCACCGCCCTCAAGGAGCTAGTGAGTCCCTCAGTGCCAGCGGAGAACCCCGGCGAAAATTGCCCGCTGCAAGCAGAACTCTAGCCGGACCAACTGTTTAGCCAAAGAGCACATCCCCAGGTCCGGACCCCAGGGACCAGCCTCCGTATTTGCAAAGCCTGACCCCACTGGCCTTGTGCTCCGGGCTTTGATGTCCAGGATGGGGTGCCCAGGGCGCCGGTTACCCAGCTCATTCAGCCACTGATCCGCTGCCACTGCGGTCCAGTGGGTGTGTGCACCTGTTCCCGCAACACCCGCAGGGCACCGACAACCACATCTGCCTCTCCACTCACATCTGCTTCCCCACCTACCCCACCCACCCCACCCACTGCCCCAGCCAGCACAGCAGGACTCTGGGCAGTCCTGGCCACACTCACCGTGTTCTTGGGACTGCCTTTGGGGACCGGCGCACACCTTGGGCCTGGGATTTATGGAAACATGTCCCTTGAGAGAAACCAACTCCCTCCTCACAGCCAGTCCTCCCACCCTCCTCTGGTCTGGGGATTGGGGTTTAAAGTACACAGAGAACAGGCTGATTTTCTACTCTTCCCCAAGCAGAGGTCCCCAAGCCCGTTCCCAAAATGCATGGGGCTAGTCCCCCCCCCCCCCACCTTAGGTCTCCCAACCCCTCAGCCATGGCACTGGACACCAAGACCATGATCATATCTCTGGGTTGACAGAGCTTTTCCTTCCAAGGGCTTAAAAAAAACAAGACAAAACAAAACAAAACAAACAAAAAAACAAAGCCATCGCAGTGCCCGCCCCAAAGAGCTAGGTCCCGAATTCAGGCAGCCAGGTTCCCAGAATCCTCCCAAACCCCAGCTCCAGGTCACAGCCCCAAAACCAGGAGGTCTGTCTCCTCAGCTTGCCCACACACACTTCAGGCAGTCCAACTAATTCTCAGTCCCTGGTAACGCAGTCGTAGCTCCTCGAAGTCCACCCCCCACCCCCACCTCCACTTCCACCTCCACTCCCAGCCTTTGCTGGGAACAGGTGGAGGGCAAACAGAGCCCGTGCTTGAATTCACCACCTCAGATTTGTCTGAGTCTCTAGATTCTTGCCCCCCACCAGCCCCAAATCTAAAGGGCCCCCCCAAGGCCTAGCCCTAGACCCACTTGAGGGCAAGTCTCAAACCCCTGTCTTTTTCTAGTCCATCCCCCACCCCCACCCCCACAATGCACAGAAGTGACCCTCACAAGCTTAGAGATCTTCAGTACTAAAGATCAAATTCCAGGACACAATGGAGACCCTGATACACATATAGAAACCCCCATACACACGGAAATGTACACCAACATGAGAGAAATGCACCACACACTCAACAACAGAAACACATATACCAAGAAATACCAGAAAGACACCTAGGAAAGGGACATACAGGACCTGAACTCACGCTGACACCCAGGAGCAGGCAGGCCCTCCCTTTCGTGCACACACCGGCTCCCCTAACCTTAATGCCAAAAAGGCTCCCGCTTGGAGAGAAAATTCCCCAGGGAAACGCAAGATTTACCACCGCCTCCCCTCCCCGAAACTCCCCATCACCCGCCAAGACCCTGCAGGAAGGAAGGGGGCAGAAAGCCCTTGCCAGGCTAGCAAGTGGTAAGGCTCTGTAAGGTGGGAACAGCACCTCCATTCTCACCTCTAAGGAAACAGGGAAGTGGTTTAACTCGTTCTGCAAATTAACTCCAGATCCGCAAAAGCGCCCTCCCCTCCGTAGGGAGAGGCCAGGCCCCTGTGAGGCTGAACTGGCGGGCAAGTTGGGTGAGCGCTGATGGACTCCACTCACCCCAGGCCGCAGGCTCTAGGGCCAACTCACCCACCTGTGCAGTTGCCCAAGCTCTGGCCAGCCCCCCACCCCGGTCCCCCTCCGCCTCCACTGCCCCTCTACTGGGCCGAGGAGTACCCCGTGGCCACCAAGCGGGGCGGTGACGCTCCAAGGGGGGAGAAAATGGCTCTGTGCGCCCAGGGCCTGCACCATCTCGCCCGATTCTGCCCTGGCAGATGCACGCCATTCCTTACCTTTCTTGATCACAGACTGGTCCAGGAGGCTCACTCCCGAATCATCCATGACCTGCAAATAGGAGAGGCGGTGGTAAGAGTGCGTGTGGACCTAGTGTCCTTTCGCTTCCCAAGCCCCCGCTGTCCCTGGTCCCCGTCCTGTCTGCTCCGGCCAACAATGTGCACTACGGTCGGGTCGCCTGGGGTGGGGCCAGGATTCGCTGAGGCTCGGCACCATCTGTGCAGCCGATCTGGGCCCTGGGCACCTCACCGTGCCGTGCTGTAAGGGAATTTTGAACCTTAGGGAATTTTGAATCTCTGCCTCTCTTCGCTCCAGGCTCAGGCTGCCTCAGCGGACCGACTCGGCATAGATGCCCTACGTGGCCCAGCCGAGAGGGAGAGAAGCGGCCCAGCCCCTTCCCATTTACTCGGCGGAGGGCTGCTGCCACCCAGGCACGGCAAAAAGGCTCCCCGCCGCCGTAAGGGCCAGGCAGCGTCTAAGCCAGGAACCCGGACGCATCCGAGGAGTCATGGGTGAGAAGCGGCAGGCTGGGGGGAAAGTTGGTTTCCCGTTTTCGGCACCTTCCCTCCAGCCAGGGCCCTCCATCTGGCCCTTCCTGGACAATTCCGGCCTCACCTGCAAGTCCTCCAGGCCGGGCGGCGCCGCCAGCCCGGGGAGGCCGAGGGGCGCGTCCGCCAGGCCGTGCGCGCCGTCGGCCAGGCTGTGCAGGAGCCGGGGCACCGCGGCGGCGTAGTCGCGGCGCGGGTCCAGGCCCAGGGCGCGGGCGGGCGGCGCCAGCAGGCCCGGCGGCTCGTTGTGGGCGCGGGTGGCGGCGCGGGTCGCGGTCCAGGCGGCCGGTGGAGGCTGCGGCTGTGCCAGGGGCGCCAGGCCGCCGTACGGGTCGCCCGCCAGGTGGGGAAAGGCGGCGGTGGCGTCGGGCGCCTGGCCGTAGGGCAGGGGCGGCTGCGGGTAGGGCGGCGGGAAGTAGGGCGGCTGGAAGTCGGCGGCCGCGGCCGCGGCGGGCGTGTGGCAGAGCGGGGGTGCCGGGCCGTAGGCCGCCGGAGGCAGGGACGACAGGCGGGCCCCTCCAGCCGCTGCGCCCAGCCCGTCGGGGCGCTCCTGGAGAAGGAGAAGGGCGCGTGAGGCGATCGCCCGCAGCCAACAGGGGTCCAGTCCAGAAGGACCCTCCTCCTGGCAGCTCGAAAGGGTCCAGCGGCCGCCCGGCCCGCTTCTACCCGCTTCCCGGGGGCCGAGGTTTATCCTTGGAGACCTGCGCTCACCGTCCTCGGCGGGCGGGACCCCTGCGGTCCTCTCCCGCTGAGACTTCGTTGTGGAAGGGGGTTCGGAAGGTCCCGCACTCAGTCCTCCTGCTGTCCCCGCGCCCCCGGGCCCCGACTACTCACCATGGGGGAGTAAGTGTGCACCAGCATGGGGCAGGTAGCTGGGGTGCGAGGCGCGGCGGCGGCGGAGCCTTCGCCCGACGGCCAGCGGGCGGGACGCGGGACGGGAGCCTGCACAGCCCGAGGGGCTCACTTGGTGGCGGGAGTGGAGGTCAACCCAACCTGGAACCCAGCGGGCGTCGGGTCCTCAAGTGTGGGCGACCCCGGGCGAGTCCATGGGGGCGGGACGCGGGCCAAACGGGCTCCGATCGCACTTGGGAAAGTCGGCCAGCGGGTGCCCAGCGCCCGCCCTGCTCCCTCTGAGCGCAGCCTGCTCCATGCACTCTAGTTATAGTGGCGGGGGCGCGCCGGGCCTCGGGGGCGCGCATTAAAGAGACACGCGGCGGCCGCTTTCTCCCTTCTCGCCAGCGAAGGCTCGGGGGAGGCGTGGCTTCGGCGCGACCCCATGGGGTGAGTACAGCCTTGTGAACCCAATCCCCGCGGGTCACCCAGCTGCTGTGAAGCAGAGATGGATTCAGGGCTGGGACGTAGGGGCTTTATTGCTTCTTTGCCTTGGAGCAAAGCACCACTGTTCCTTAGCCTCAGCTTCCTTGTCTGTAAAATGGGTATCCGCCTTTTCTCTAACCACCTCACCTCGCCCACAATGAGGTGGGCGATCGTGAATGTGGAAGAAGTTTGTGAGCTGTAGACTCAAGCCCACCGGCTCATGTGTATGCGTGTGTGTGCGTGTGTGTGTGTGTGTGTAGGGGCCATCAATCTCTCTGAATGTTTCCAGATCAAAGCGCCTCTGAGGGTGCCCACTTACTCCAGGAGGCTTCCCAGTACCAAGCCAGCGTCTGAGTAAGCTGGAGACGATCTCTCCAGACAGAGAGCAAGTTGCCTGGGACTGGGGTTAAGCATGAGTTCCATCTGAGGAGGGCCTAGGTTGGCTGAATGTGGGCCTGTTGAGTGAATCTGTGTGTAAGGGACACTGTGTGGATGGTATGTGATCCTTACACTAGCACCCACAGGCTGTGTTACCATGGCAGACACTGGGTAGCTCTCAAGCATGTTCCAGTCTCTGCGGTCACTCTGTCTTTCTTTTTCCCAAAACCCAACCCTGCCCTCCTGAGAGAAACTGGGACAGAGATTAAAGAAAGGAAATGAGAGGAATGCTACGGGGAATGAGAATTAAGAAGGCAGAAGGAAGATGTTTTTTGAAAGCCAGAAGGTGCTCAAACCAGGGTATAACAGAAATTGTCCCAGCAAACATGTATTACAGAGAGTGCCAGACTCTGTGCTAAGTACTTAATGAATAGTGAGCTGTTGAACCCTCACAACAGCCCTATGAGATAGATAGCCTTATCACCCCCATTCTCAGGTGAGGAGAATGAGGCACAGAGAGGTGAACTGGCTTGCCCAAGGTCAAGCAGCTAGTTAAGTGCCAGAGCTGGGATAGCCCGCTTCTAGCCTCTCTGTGCTCAGAATTCCTAGTCTGTGTTGTCTGATACTCAGGTGCCTAGAATTTAGTCCTGACTTCAACTGACCTGTGATGCTGGGCAAATCCCTCTTCCTTTCTGATCTGAGTTTCTGCAACTTCAAAAACAACAATAAAGTAGGGGAGGACAGAGAGGACTAGATGTGGGAGACAGAACATAAAGGTAAAAAATTTGAGATAGATTAGAGGAGAAGGGGAGCTAGAGGAGACACCATTAACCCATGAAATGTAGGTGGAGGAGGCTTGAAAGGGGTATCCCAGGAGGTACAGGTCTGGGTCATCTCAGCCTTGGGGTCTGTGGGGTATGAGGAGGCTAATAACAGCTAAAGAGTCGCCACTAAGAACTTTTCAGAGGTTGGACCACCAGCTAGAGTGGAGGATGAAACAGAACTGGGCACCTCTGCAGCCTTCGTGCCCAGGAAAGATCAGCGGTCAGGAGTATGCTTGCATGTGTGTCTATATATGTGGGTGTGTGAGTCTGTGGTGAGACCACCCTCAACTTTAGCAAAGGACCTCAGAAGTCAGGCTCCAGGACAGGGGTATGTGTGCTGATGCATGGCATGCAGGTAGGTAGACCTCTTTGGGAGAAGTCCAGTGAGGCAAGGCTGTCATGCCTGTGCCCAGCTGTGGGATCCCCTGCTTTCTCCAGCAGGTGTGGGGAGGCCAGAATGACAGGATGAGCTGTCTGTCCAGTGGCCTCCTTGGGTTTCCTCACTCTACTTCCCTGCAGCTAAGACAACCCCCCTTTTTTTTAACCTTATTTTCCCTTCTTTTCTGGCCACTTCTCAGTCTTCTATTTCTGCCCTTTTCTTCCTCATTCTTAGTGTCACTTATTCATCCTCAGAATTGCAGCTTCTGCCTTTTCTTCCTATCTACAATCTTCATGAGCCAGTTCATCCCCTCTCAAAACTTTAATGACTACCTGCTGTTATCAGGTAGCCATTCTGGCCTCCCTGTCTGCTGTTATCTCCCAGCTCTGTTATCTCCAGTCTGTTTCTCTCACTAGAAATCCAGACCCTTAGATGCAATTGCCAGTAGGATACTTCCTCCAGACATCTTGTTGCCACCATCTGAAACTTGCCAAGTCCAAAACTGAACCTCAACACCTCCTTCACCCCACCAGCAACCCCTACCTCTTTATCCTCCTGAGTTCTGTATTTCCATAAATGGCACCACCAACCTTCAAATTAAAAATAGAGTCATCCCAGACTCTGACTCTGACCTCCCCCACCCATAAGCTGCTCCTCATGGAATGTTGTCATTTCTAACCTTTAAACATATCTCTCCACTCCTCTGTCTGCACCTTAAGCTACATTCTTTCTCATAGACCAGTGGTCGGCAAACTGCGGCTCGCGAGCCACATGCGGCTCTTTGGCCCCTTGAGTGTGGCTCTTCCACAAAATACCGACTTCTGCACATGGGCCACAAAGTTTCAATCGCACTGTACATGCGTGCCTGCATGTGGTATTTTGTGGAAGAGCCACACTCAAGGGGTCAAAGAGCCGCATGTGGCTCACGAGCTGCAGTTTGCTGACCACTGTCATAGACCACTAATTCTCAAAGCATTGTCCCTGGACCAGCACCGCCTACATCATCTAGGAATGTGTTAGAGGTGCCAGGTCTTGGACCCCACCCCAAATTTGCTGAATCAGTATCTGGGGGGGGGGGCTGGCAATCTGTGTTTTAATAAGCCCATATAAGGTAAATTCAAGCATAGTATAGTCTGCAAACTACTGCCGCCATCACAAACCTGCTAACTGGTCTCCTGCCTTCATCCACATCTCTTCTGATCTAATTCCAATTTCATTCAACAACAGTGACTAGACCATGTAACCTTCCTACTGAAAACTCTGCTGGGGCTCCCCAAGACCCATCTTCATGGGGAAGCTTAAACATTCTAACCAGCATTCCAGGCTTTTTGTAGCTGCAACTAATTTTCCTTTCCTGCCTCGTGAACTACTTCACAAGATGAAAGGAGAAAGAGAAAACGTGTCCTGCACTGGGGTTGATGCATGTCAGGTGCTCAGTGAATGCATATTAAGTAAATGATAAATGAATCCATGGATGAGTTTATGAACCCCTCCGTCTGTTGGGCATTCCTATAGGAAGCTTCCCTGCAAGCATGGCCCTGCGTAGCTAGAACCCAGGTATAATCGAGAAAGTCATCTGAGAAAGAAGTGATTTTGCTTATGACTACTGGGGAGAGGGATGTTAATCCATGGTCTGCTGCTGATTTGGGGAACTCCTAAAAATTTAAGGGTCCTATGGGACTTAAGGGTCCTCTGTTGCTCTTCTCTTTCAGGCCCAAGGGACTCTTCATTCTCTCAGGCATGGAGGTGGACTGTGCTGGTTTCTCTGGAACACATGCACACATGTGGAGGCCTGAGATATGCATGGGACATGCAACATGCACAGAGACACTCATGGGAAACACACATACCACATGGGAACACAGGACATATATTGACACATAGGTGTATATGTTCAAACATACATACATCCCCATTGGCATATTTGGCATATTGCTCTTCCTCCAGGCTCAGGATTTTCCCTCTTTTCAAAAAGTGTGTTTGCATTTGGACTTTTATGTAAAGAAAAAACTTGGGCCTGCCTCCCTTGTGGTTGACACCGGCACCCTCCTCCCATCCTTTGATAACCTCCTGCTCTGGGCTTGGCTGAGTACAGGGTGGGGGAAATCTGGCACAAGGAGATGCTTAGGCTCCACCTTGTGGTTAGATCTCACAACTGCAGCTGGGGTCTCCCCATTTCCCTGGAGGCTGAATTACCCAGCCTCTCCTAGTTAACCTAACCCCCTCCCTATTCCAGAGGCCAGAATTCTCTGTCCCTCACTAAAGCACAGACAGAACTCAGTCGGCCTTGTATGGTGAGGCTTTCTTCAGCGTTTGGCTCCTTTGCTGCATGAGGGACAGTACTTTGAGGGCAGGGACCGTGAGTGGTTGCCACTTGCATTGGGGCTCTTCTCTTTGAAGTTCCCCAGATGATCTCAATCACTCCCATGACTTTAAGGACCCTCTACAACAACTTACAAATCTGTTGCTCATCCAGACCTGTCTCAACTCCAGAGCTCAGAAAGAAACTGCCCCTGGATATTCCACAACTAGCACAAATGCACCCTTTACATTTAGAGCTTATGTTTTGTACCATCCTGTTTCCTAGTGTTCCTCATGGCCTTATCCACTCAGTGGCCTAGATCAAGAACCTGGAAGTCATCCTTGGCTCTTCATCCATCTTCACTTCCAATTAATCACCACGCCCTATTAAATAACTCCTACCTATATTTTCTCCATCCTCACTGCAACTGGCTTAGTTCAGACTTACTACCTCCTCTCAAGCTCTGTGCTTCAGTTGTCCCCCTTACAGCCAAAATCATCTTGCTTAAATGCAAACTGGATCACATTCAATGAGCTCAAAAGTCTGCAGCCTCAGCATGATCCCACATCTAAGCTTCTTAGCACAGCACAGCAGGACTTAAGATCTGGTTCATGTCCACGCATCTTCCACACTCCCACTCACTCTCCACTAGAGCATTAATGACCTACTTGCAGTTCCCAAGCTTATATGCCTTACCTGCTGTTCCTCTGCTTGTCTACCTGGCAAGCCCCACTCATCCTCAGGTCTCAGAGCAAATACTTTTCCTGGACTTATTCAGCCAGGCCAAGGGGCCCTCAGGCTCCAGCCACACTTTGTTCAAACCCCCATAGGAGCAACTGTTTATACCTTTAGGAACTGTTTGTTGCCTTGTCTGTTTCCCCTCTAGATTTTAAGCTGCTTGAGAGCAGGGTTTTTCT